CTAATGATTCAGTTTTTCTCGAAAGATCACGTGACTACAGGTCAGATTCCATATATGGTGCAATCATCCCGCGGGTCATACCCGCAGGTACAGTGACCCGTAGAGCAGTCGAGTCCACTTGGTTAATTGCAAGTAACCCAAGGGTAAGTTAGTATGATTATTATAATTTGACTCAGTTAGTAAAAGACCCACTTGCTCCCGAGATCCTTTGCGAGAGTATTTTTTACGTTGTTTTGGTTTTAAAAGAGACCTGGTTTTTAAGTTGTTTTCTTATTGGTTTAAAAGCTAGGACTCAATAAATCTCACCCATACAGTAGCTAGGCCTCACTCGATTACCCTTCTAATTCTGTACAATTATGCTACTAAAGGACAATTTCCGAAGATTGAAAAAAGGAAAGTTTAAAGCAATAAAGGTTGCTCTAGGAAATTTTCCACACTTTTTGACGCGAATACGGGATGACCAAAGATCTCCATCTTTTGTATTTAAGGCATTTTAACCAGTTCAACCTTTCGTATTTGTTGTTTTAGGAGGATCGTGTAGGGTCTGAGCTAAAAGCAATGATAAGGGCCCCGCCAGGGTACTCGTTGGTAGGTGCAGACGTGGACAGTCAGGAATTGTGGATTGCTGCTGTACTGGGCGACGCCAATTTTGCTGGTATTCATGGTAAGATTTTGTTTTTTATATATCTTTTTCAAGACAACCTCAGTCCGAAACGGCTTCACACCGTTTCTAGTGATGTGGCGGTTCATTCTTGCGAGACCCAAAGCTTGGAAAATCTTCACTGTCTGTTCAATTAAGCTTTGAATTTACGCATGCTCTCATATCAGTGTTCTGCAAGCCTATCCCACATGGTGCAGAGCATGTTTTCACATTTGTCGTCGTTTAGTGCTAAATTTATAATTGGTTGCAGGTAGTACAGCGTTTGGTTGGATGACGTTACAAGGCAGCAAGTCAGACGGTACAGATTTACACAGCACGACCGCCAGCACTATCGGCATCAGCCGTGACCATGCTAAAGTAAGGCCCGTTTCAGACGTCGTTTATGAGCATTTTGTACTCTATATTTATTGATATTTTGTTCAGTTGGACTAACTTACTATAATCTGTAAATATCAATCGATGTAGACTGCAAACCTCTCGAGAACTGCATGTAAGCAATTAGATTAGACGCGGCAAAAGATAAATCCAACAAGACAAAAATTATTGAAAGGAAAATACAACAAAAATAAAAATAAGCAAACGCATTAAAACTACAAACAAACAAAACAGAAGCAAATTCAGGGCAAACAAAACTGACAAAATAATCAGGCCTGAAAATTATACTTTTTATATATAACAGGGTCGTGACATAGTATATGCGATCAGGATGCCCAACTATTGCTTGAGAGAAGTAAAGAATAAGCTGCACACACGCGCAGCGACGCGCGCTCTTAGTGAAATGCGGATTACCTGTGGTATTGCATCACGATCCCGTGTTTCGCGAGATATAAGCTTGTCACAAACAAACTGGGATGTATCCCACGAGGTGCGGGATCGTGATGTATTAACACAGGTAATCCGCATCGCGCTTCGTTTATAGAAAAGCGTGGTCATTCATTTTCTTCTTTTTCTCAAGCAATAGTTGGGCTGCCTATGACCTGATCTGCTGGTCGTACTTAGTGACATCCCTATATTTCTACAACTACTTGTCTAGTGAAAACTCAATGATAACTGTGTCTAGTAGACAATACTGATAATGTCCAAGTACAGTCATTTAACTCGTCGTATTGTGTTATACCAGGTCTTCAACTATGGGCGAATTTACGGTGCTGGCCAGCGGTTTGCCGAGCGCTTGTTGCTTCAATTCAACCATAGATTAACTGACAAAGAAGCCAAAATGAAAGCTGAAACGTTGTACGGCAAGACCAAAGGAACAGTGAAGTATGCTGACAAATGCCAAAAAAGGACATCAACTTTTTTGATTAGATTGATTCGGCGAATAGCTCTTGAATGACATATGGTATTGATAAGACTTTGGTAACTTCTAGTCTAGGATCAATAGGCAAATAATTTGTTTACATTTCGGTTCATTAACATATTATTAGCATAAGTATAAAACGTTTTAACCTAACTATCAGTAAATCAGCACTGATAGTGCCACTGAATAATATTTAAACAACATGGCACAATAAGCTTTCCTCGCAATTTTGAGCTTCCCATATGAAATATTTCAGTTTTGCATCAAACGGTTCCAATTCTTATAGAGATTATATGATCCAATAGGCAACGTGCAGCAACGCCATTTTGTGAAGCAAAGCATGATGATAGTTGTAGTCCTCGCACTTATTATAGACACTAAAATATCTCCCTAAGAAGAGTTTTTATGTCTTCTTTGTAGAAATGTTGCAGCTACTTCTATTTTGCTTAGAAAAGGCAAAAAAGGCTGAGGAGGACCTAAATAAGTACGAGGACTACAACTACCATCATGCTTTGCTGTATGGTGTCGCTGCACATAGGCTATTAACGCTAATATATTATAAACTATTGCACATTAAGACCTCAAACTTTTGTAGTTTATAGTTCTTAATAAGCCCTTTTACGTCTCGAACTTATTTTACAGTTTTTTTTTAATTTCACTTTATTCTAATTAGCAAAATTTTGTAAACAAAGATCCGCCTATATTTATTTCAAAATTATGATATTACCCGATATTTTGGTAGGTATAAGCTTTCAGACTATGGGTACCAGGTAGCTGATAAAATAGGTCGACTACATGACGTGGATGAAAATGGTTGCGTAGAGCCGAAAGTGTACTGGGAACTAGCAAGAAAAGCTCATCGTGCAAGGTAAAGACAATGAAAACTTTTGAGCCTTGGCAACGTGGAAGAGAATTGCTTAACAATACTCCATTTTCTAATTCTATTTGTGCAAGCTTAGCTTCAATCAAGCATATTTTTTTATCGTCTTCTTTGTACACAGAATGTTAGCATTACAATAGGATCTCTGCCGAATAAAAGAGTATATTACATGATTTCGAGGTTTAAGGCTGCACAAATTAGCCATTTCGGAGTTGCGCAGGGGACTGGACACTGATTAAAGAAATATTGATCTAATCAAGAAACAAACCCCACCCCATGAAAGGACACCCAAAAATTAGTAAATGTACTAAGTTTCAAAACGTTTGGATGTAAAAGCTAGCTGAACAGTATTTATTCCTAGTTTCATCAAATTAACAGAGAATGAGTTATGTAAAAAGATAAATTTAACACCTTAAATTTATCTTTTTACATAACTCTTTCTTTAGAAACACCGACGCAGCTCACACTAGTTTACCGCTAGTTCCCAACATTTTAACAGAGAATGTATTGTTTTGGGGGACGCGGTCAAAATCCCCATACATTCTCTGTAAATTGCGCGGCTTCTAATTAATTGAATATTTGTCCAAATGATCTGTAACTTGGAACCTAAACTCAAGTCGATAAAGTCTTTTATAGTGATATGGTTAGTTTTTCGATTGGCTCAATATGACAGAAATTACAATTCATTTCATAACTCCAAAATGGCTAATAAAATCTCGAAACTGGAGTATTTTAACCACCAAAGAGCTTCTTCAATTTCTCCTCATTCATGATCAAGTGGTATCCATTGTTAGCTTTTGATTGAAGATAAAAATACATCGTGATATCAGTAAAAACTTACTGTTTATTACCATTTTAAATGCACGCTTCGACCCAGGCTCTGTTCGCTGAAATGCGACTTCTTTCTGTCATATTTATAATGAAAAAACGTCACGAAAAATCCTAGGTTTCCTGTGTACTCTTGTGTTATGTATATTTTTGCTTACGTGTAAAAAGTATTTTCGGATTTTTTCTGAGCACTGCAAAAGTTGATTTTTTCGTCTATGTTTTCTTCTTGTAAAGGGGAAACAAACTGAAAAAGAGTATCGAATGTGGTCGTGTTTGGCAGGGAGGAAGGTAAGG